TGGCCTCCGTGCTCAGGCCCCACGCGCGGGCTTCTGAACTGAGAATACGGGCAGGCACTGGGGACGCCCCCAGAGCAGGGTCCCCGCCTGGGGCACTTGTGCTGGGGGAGGGAGTGACCTCGGCTGGCACAGTGGAGGCCAGCCCAGGCGTCCAGCCTGGAGGATCAAGCCTCATCTTCATATGTCTCTTCAATGTCTTTAATACCCTGCGTTTTCTTATGTGCATTTTCCGGTTTTCTGATTCGAGTGTGTGGAATGGGGAAGGAAAACCAATGTGTCCGCTCTTCGCCCGAGCTGCTGAAGAACAGCACGAGGCTCAGTTCTCTTGAGAGTCACAGTCTTGGCACATCCGTTCTGTGGTGGCTCAGATAAGAAGGCCCCTTTTCAAAACCGGGCAGTTTTTGGCTCAGGAGCCCTGGATGGCCCCTCTGGTCACAGGGTCACCAGTGACGTGCGTTGCGCTGCCCTCTAGTGGTGATCCAGAGCTTTTCATTCTGAAGCCGGCAGATTTTCCTCCACATTCAGGTTTGAAGGTTCTGCGTTCTGTGCCAACCTGGCCCGCACGCCTTCAGCCCCAGCCACCTGTCTCCCGGGGGGAGGAGAGACCTCAGCCGTGCCTGCCACGGTGTCAGCGACACGGCCCATTAGGTCCCGGAGCTCTTCATCGGGAGCCAGATCCCTGAAACCTGGCATTTCCTTCACGAGGCTGCACAAGCGCTTAAAGCGAAAAGCCCTTCGTTTTCAGTAATGAGGGCTGCGGTCCTCGTCGTCGTGTTTGGGTCTTGGATTGAAGAAGAAACAAATGAGTTTGGGAAATTGGCACTTTGTCATTTTACAGACCATGTGGGGCAGTGATGGCGAACCTGTGACACGCGTGTCAGAGGTGACACGCGAACTCATTTTTTTGGTTGATTTTTCTCTGTTAAATGGCATTTAAATATATAAAATAAATATCAAAAATATAAGTCTTTGTTTTACTCTGGTTGCAAAGATCAAAAAATTTCTATATGTGACACGGCACCAGAGTTAAGTTAGGGTTTTTCAAAATGCTGACACGCCGAGCTCAAAAGGTTCGCCATCACTGATGTAGGGCATTATGCATATTCTCCTTGTGTGTCTGTGTAATTTAAAAAGCCCAACCTGTCACTTCACAGTGCATTCAAAATATGACCTATTGGAAGGACACACTCAAAGTAATGAAAAGATATATAGCTCCTTTTTGAACAGTGGAAATAACGAAGGCACCTAGAAGTTAATACTCCACATCTGCACTGTCCAGTAAAGTAGCTACTAGCCACATGATGGCTATTTACATGGAAATTAACTAAAAATAAACGAAACTCCCTCGGTCGTACTGGCCGCATTGCAAGTGCTCGGAGGCTGCAGTGGCTGGCGGTCCTGGCTCGGACAGCGCGGGCGGGACCGCCTCCATCACCACAGAAGGTTCTGGACGGCCTGCTCCGGCACTCGCTGTATGTGGTCCTGGTCACTCTAATCTTCTGCCCAGATGATTGCTGTGGGTTGGGGGAGTGGGGATGCCACAGAGTGTGGCAGAACAGAAACAGATTTGGGAGCCGCGTTCAGATCTTGTCCTTATCACACGCTAGTTGTGTAGCCTTCAGCCAGTTTTCCTGAACTTTTTTTTTAACCTGGAAGAAGAGCCAGCAGGGTGTGCTGCAGGGGCTGCCGTGAGGGCACTGTGCCGGAACAGAGCCCAGCCCTGGGGACAGGTGATAGGAAGCAGCCGCTCTCACCGTGATTCCTGGGGGAAGGGAGGGCGAGATGGGGTGGGAGGGTCACGGATGAAAATGTATGAAATCCTGCCCTGGCCAGTGTGGCTCAATGGATAGAGCGTCGGCTTGCAGACCAAAGGGTCCGGGTTCAATTGCAGTCAAGGGCACATACCTTGGTTGCAGGCTCCTCCCCGGCCCGGGCCCTGGTCGGGGTGTGTATAGGAGGCAACCAGTTGATGTGTTTCTCTCACATCAGTGTTTCTCTCTGTCTTTCCCTCTCTTCCACTCTCCCTAAAAATCAATGGGAAAATATCCTTGGGTGAGGATTAACAAAAGAAAGAGGAAAAAGAAAAACAAACAAACAGAAAATGTATGAAATCCATGAAGGTTTATGAAGTTGCGTGTCCTATGCAATTTTACTTATTTCCTTAAACCTCATCCTCACAGCCCGGAATGTTTGGGCGGCTCTGAGGGTCTGGACGTAACGGCAGGAGCTCAGCCTGCCCATCGTGGGGATCAGCAGAGCAGGTGTTGGCAGCCGTGCCACCGGGAAGAGTGGGAAATTTCTCCAAACCACTCAAAAACATGATTATTTAAAATAATAAGCCTCCTAGGAGCTCCCCGTAGGCCTCAGGGATGAGTGAAACATAAGACACTTTAGCACAAGACTTTTTCAAAGTAACATTTAAGAAAATGCGTCTGCTTGTTGCCTGTGCGGTGAGCTTTCCTGCCCCTCCCACCTTCCCTGGAAGATGGGCCTGAACGACTGCGATTTTCTTTACAATTTAGGGAAGAAACATCTTTTCTCATGACTACGTGTTTTGGTGCGGCGACTTCAACTACCGCATCGATCTCACGTACGAAGAAGTCTTCTATTTTGTTAAGCGCCAAGACTGGAAGAAACTTCTGGAATTTGATCAGCTACAGCTGCAGAAATCCAGTGGAAAAGTAAGTTGTGCTTTTAAAGCGGTTTTGGCAGCTGCCCCAATAGGGGATAACATCTACTAAATGTGCACCCTCGTGTCTGGCAAGTTAAGTTCCAGGAGTAAAGAGGATCATGACGTTGTAAGAAATGTGTGTGATTGTCCGTTCACACACACACGTCCTGTTCCCCCCCACGGGCTGTGTTCGGGTCTGTGTCCTCTCACGGCGCAGGGGCCATCGTGTGAAAGCACAGCGCAGGCACGGTAGCCAGCTGCAGGAGCCGGAGGCTGCAGGAGCCCTGTGCTCTGTGGGGGGAGGGGGTTGCTGTCCTTACTCTGTCAAACCAGAAAAGAGCTGTACTCAGTGGGAGTCACAGCATCTGAGCTTGGAATGGCCCCGTCGCAGCGTCTGAGCCACCCGCTCATGCTCACGTGCACACCTTGCAGGGACTGCTGTCCTTCAGCTGTTCTAAACCAGCAAGGGACACTTCAGACTCTGCTCAAAGTACTGGATTTGGGTGCTGTCTCTATTTCTCATTGGTGAAGACACTAACAAATTAGACCAGCATTGATATATATTTTACACGCCCATTTGTATGGTTAATTCTCAAGGCCATCCTACAAATTAGTTATTATACCCATTTTATAGACAAGAAAACTGAGGCTAAGGTCAAATAATTCATCCAAGGTCACAGGGGTCAGTAACAGAGCTCCGATACTGTCCAAAACTGGAACTACACAGCTCATGCTTTCCCCTGACGTGGCCCATGTGCAGATTTTAGTGACTCCGTGGGCCATGACACCCTCAGTTCTGCCAGGTCACCCTGGCTAGCCTCCAGGTGCCCCCAAACTTCTTCCCTCCTCCAGCTGATACTGGTGCCTGTTAGCTTTCCCGCAGCCGGGCTGAGGTGAGGGAAGCACAGCTACTTCCCTTTCCCTTCTGAGAAGGCGGCGGGTTCAAATGCATCAGAACTGGGAAGTCAGATCTCTCCTTCAGCGAGGTTTGCATGTTCCTCCGGGCGTTCCCTGCCCACCCGCCTCAGCCCTGCCCGGCACGGGCGCTGAGGGTGGCCAGGTGGGGATGTCAGACACCGTTCCTTCCTGGGACAGGTGGCTCTTGCTTCCTCCCACCAATGTCCTCCGCACCCTCCCATTCATGCACTGAGCAGGCGGCTGCTCCTGGGCCTCCCCGGAAACAAGGCTGGACCCAGAGCTGAAGGAAGACGGAGGAGAGCTGGACTTCAGTTCTGGGCTTCTGTTGACACCATTCGCTTAGTTAACAAGCATCGGTTAAGGCCTTGCTGGGTGTGGGCTGGGCATCCCTGCCTCGTGCCTTTCACTGTCCGTGGGGCCAACGAGCAGACAGTGTGATAGGTCGGGTGTTGGGGGAGGGGGTGCACCCAGTGGTAGTGCGTCCGACAGGTGAACAGACAGACGGTCATCACTGTTTTGCTAATTAAGAGGCACACACGTGTCCAGTTTCAGACATATTTGTAAATGTGACGTAGGCTCTGTGACTTAGGAACGCAGAGAACCAAGCTGAGCGTGTGGCTTCTTTTCCTCCCACTAGATTTTTAAAGACTTTCATGAAGGCAGCATTAATTTTGGACCCACCTACAAGTACGACGTTGGCTCCGCCGCCTACGACACGAGCGACAAATGCCGCACCCCGGCCTGGACAGACCGGGTCCTGTGGTGGAGGAAGAGGCATCCCTTCGACAGGACAGGTGCGTGGGAGCCGTGCGCTCTCAGAGCTGGTGGGGCGGGGGGTGGTCAGCACCACGAGGGAAAGTCACGTTGATCCAGCCCGACACTCTGTTAGATCAGGAACGTGTCCTTGACAACCCAAAGCTACGCACAGGTCATCCCAGCGCCGGCCCCTGCGCTTCGGAAGTTGCGCTTTGGGGAGCTCCCCCCGTCTTCTCTCTCGAGACCGGTCCGCAAGGACCTGCTCCTGACTCCCCATCCCGGCACCACAGCTGTCCCCCCCCACCCCGCCCACCTCTGTTCCCATGGGAACAGGAGAGAAGCCAGGCCTTCCCCGCTGCCTGCCCCACACAGCTGCCCGCCACCCAGGCGTTCCTTCCCACCACACCCTCATCTGCTACAGCCCCGGTTCCGAATCGAACAGGGGAAAGATAAGGGTTTGCTATCATTTAGCTTCAGTCTGTCTGGACCGATGATCCCAGCTATGAAGTGCAGTTGATTTAAAATTAGAAGGAAGGTGAGGGGTTGGGGGGGCGTCATTAACGGGGGACCTTATATGCATAGATGCGTAGCCCATGGACACAGACAGTAGTGTAGTGAAGGCCTGGAGGAGCGGGTGTGGGGTGGAAGGGGTCAATGGGAAAAAAGGGGGGTCAGAGGGGAATGTCTATAATATTTCCAACAATAAAGGTAATTAAAAAAAAAAAAAGCAAATGGAGCAGAATGGAACCTGGGAAAAGGATGTATGGGTGTTCCTTGAACTTTTCTATAATTCGGGGTGGAAGGGGTCAATGGGAAGAAAAGGGGGGACAGGCGGGGGGATGTCTATAATACTTTCAACCGTAAAGGTAATTTTTAAAAAAAAGCAAATGGAGCAGAATGGAACCTGGGGAAAGGATGTATGGGTGTTCCTTGAACTTTTCTATAATTTTGAAATTATTTTCAAATAAATTAAATGTTTAAAAAATAATAGTAAGATAAAATACAATTAGACCCCCTGTAACCTGGGACATAAACCAGTCAACTTCTCTGGTGAGACACTTGCTGAGATTTCAAAGCCAGGAAGTCACACACCTGCAGATTGAAAGATACGTTTAGTTCAGATACATCAGTTTGGGGCACCTGCGTGGCCCCAGGGCACTGAGTGGCCTTGTGCCCCCAGCCTCGGCCTGGCACCTCCTGCTGTGCAGAGGGCTGCAGACCTGCGTCCCTGTGCCCCAGACGGAAGCCCCACAGCGTGATTTCTGTGCCCCCCCCCCACTGTGCCCATGGGAGAAGCTCTTTACCCCAGGCCCAAGGGGTTAGAGCGAACGAGTCTGAGACACGCGTGGCCCGTCCCTGTGGTACCCGTTCTGTGTTCGGCATTCGCGTGTGTTGACACCATGTTGTGTTGTCTGTGGGTCTCTGGATTGGAATCCTGTGAGTAGCTGGAGAACTCAACCTCCTAGACAGCGACCTCGATGCGGACACCAAAGTCAGACACACCTGGTCTCCCGGATCCCTCAAGTATTACGGCCGAGCGGAGCTGCAGGCGTCGGACCACAGGTACGGTGCTCACTGCCTCGGGCACACGCTCCTCTGCTGAGACCCCCAGGAAGACGGAGACCCCGGGACCGCCCCGCGAGGCCGCAGGGCCACTTGGGGGCTGTTGGCGGTGTCTGTTCACAGGAGCTCCGGGGACTGAGGGGTGTGGTGTGGCTGTCGCGCCCGGGCTAACGGCTGCCCGTCTTCCCTCCGTGTCTAACACAGACCCGTGCTGGCCATCGTGGAGGTGGAAGTTCAAGAAGTTGACGTGGGTGCCCGGGAGAGGGTGTTCCAGGAAGTGTCCTCTTTCCAGGGCCCCCTGGACGCCACCGTCGTCGTCAACCTCCAGTCGCCCACCTCCGAGGAGAAAGACGAGTTTCCGGAGGATGTGCGCACCGAGCTCATGCAGACCCTGGAGAATTACGGGACGATTGTTCTTGTCAGGTGACCACTGCCCCGCCCGGCGGGTGTCCGCGGGGGTGACATCCAGGCCGTGGGAGCGGCCGAGTCTCTCTCGGGGTTGACGGGACTGTTTCCTTTATTCCAGGATCAACCAGGGGCAGATGCTGGTGACGTTTGCAGACAGCCACTCGGCTCTCAGCGTCCTCGATGTGGACGGCATGAAGGTGAGGCCGCTTGGTCCTGTGCGTCCTCGGGGTCATGCGTCTCCTCTCCTCGCCGTGCCTTTAGGTGTAGGCGCCCCGTGAGGGCAGAGGCCGGGACCCTTCACCGGGCACCTCATCCTGGTACCTTTGTTGAGCTGTCTAATGCCCAGCCCAGGCTGCTTGCAGAATTTGGGAGAAAGAACAAGTTTTGGAGTCTCATTCCCGATGGGTTCCTGGGTCTGCTCTTGCTCAGGCCTCCGTGCGGAAGTGTTGCTATCTTTCTCTTTAGAGCGGGGGTGGGGAACGTCTGGCCTGAGGGCCGTATAAAAAGAAATCATTTGGTCTGGCCCCGGCCCAGGCGCTAGGGGTGAGTGAGTTAAATGTTTGACTGGTACAGCAGGCTAATTTTTAAGCTGGTCGTTTTGCATGGTCTGCAAACGGTGTTATCAACATCCAGTGGCCCTTGGCAGGAGAAGGTTCCCGCCTTTCAGAGTGTGCATTTTGGAGCAGGCAGCCCAGGGTTTTCCACGTTGACGATGCCCCGGTCGATTTTAAATTCACGCGGAACGAAAAGCTGAAGACGAGGGTTTGACTTCTACTTAGACCCAGCGCGAGCCTGCCCAAGGCCGGGACCCTCCGCTGTGCTTGGCGGCGTGAAGCTGGCCCGGCTCCCGACACATGCGTT